TTAAGCCTTTATACACTGTAAAGTATTAACCAATTACAATCGATTGTTCTTCTCCATATTCGACTACGATTGATCCATTTCTTACTGCTTAGGCTTAAAATCCTCATTGTGGATCGATACTTAAAAATATTAAAGACATATTTAAAAGGCGTCTTAAGGTCTTCAGCTACAATGAGAGTAGAAAGTCGTAAGCCGTAAGAAATTGACCAATCACAGTCGATTATTCTTTTCATATTCAACTGTAATTGGTCAGTTTCTTACGGCTTACGACTTACTACTCTCATTGTAGATGGACCTTTACGTCCCGACTTCGGACTTTATGTCGTCTGGGCTCTTTTGCTTAGAAGCCGCGCAGCCTCTCGCGCGTTCGCGCTCGTGCAGCATTTGCGTAACGGCGCAACCGTCGCCGCGGTTACCGTGATAATCACGCTCGATCTTGACACGCGATATATATTATGCGCCTCGCTGGGGCGCGGCGAGGCGCAATTTGCGCTTCTTTTCCCCGTCGTGTACTTACAATCGCGCGCTTCTTGTGTGTCGCTCCTCCGCGCGCGTTCATTCCACTTATTAATACCAATCTACTTTAATTCGCGCCACAATCAGATCCGCGGTGATAAATTTCGTGCGCGTCGGAAGGGAAGGGTTCTCGGTCGCTGCCAAAACTGCAGTATTTCGCATGTCGGTGCCAAATCGGCGCGGCGGCCGCGGCGGGCGCCGCGCGGGTTTGCGCGAGCCGATACTCGGAGAGAATTAGCACGCCCGCTCGTCGCCCTTCGTCGAAGAGTTCGTGCGAAATTTCGCGCGATCGTCCGAAATTCTCGCGTGCGCTCGCTCGCTCGCGTCGCGTCGCCACGTCGTCGTCGCATTATTGTCGCATCCTCTTGGCCACCCACTCGCGGTCGCTGGCACCACACCAGAGCGGATGCGACGACACTCGGGCGCGGATTAAATTGCGCTCAATTAAATTCGCTTAAGACATTTCGCCGTCTCAAATCTGCCCGCGACGGCTCGCGCTCCTCGCAACAGGGCCTCGAAACAAGATCCTCGCCCGCGACGATTGCTACGGCGAGATAAAGGCGCACAAGTGAAGGCACAGCACAGGTATACAACGCAGAGGGACTCTCTCAGGCGCGCGCGCTTCGCCTAGCTTTTTTCAAAGGCGAGGGAAAATAGAATCGCAGATGCGTTTCACGCGGTCAAAGTTTTTTACGCGATAGGCACGGATCGATGAAACGTGTGATAATGCCGCAGGAATATCACACTGTACCCTGCGCGGCTGCGTATATAATTTGCATGTTTTGCCGATCGTTCGCCTGCGGCCCGATACTCCGAAGCCGCTCTCACCGTGCCTGATCTACTTAATACATTATTTCCTTCCATATTACGATCTTCGCTCATTCGGCGCTCTGCGCCGCTATCGAACGACGTCGATGTCGTATTCCGATTCCGCCGAATATATATGTATATCGTTCAAATTAATGCGTGTACAAATACTGCATTTACATTTTTATATTGCGAAATTAAATAAATATATAAGAATACAAGACAATCTCGGAATTATAATCCAAGCGCATTAATGAGTCACGATAACATCAAAATGACGTTAAAATGAATCGTGAATCGTTCAAGTAAATTCGTGAAAAGTGGTCGAAAAGTATTTTTTTCATAATTTCATTTTGTAGAGCCATTTAAACGTCGTTTTCGATGCCATCGTGACTTTTTGCTCCGCCGGAGAATGCTTTACAGCTTAAGTAGGACGATGTTATTAGACATTCATCGTTTCGATTCAAGTCGTCACGAATTGGTATTATCGTATCGGCTCTCGGGAGGCTTTCTCAAAACCCAGAAATTCTCCTCGGGTAATTCTATACTGCATATAGGGAGAAATACCCGTCTGTTAGAGCGCGCGGCGCGTAGGTACCTACGCATGCAGAAAACGCGCGGAAATGTTAGCCGCAGATGTTTGAGGTTGTATAGAACTTGGTTAACATGGGAGGCCTGCGTGAAAACGGCACATGCGGTCAGATTAGCGACGACACGGTCGAATATACGCGTAGTCACTGCCAGGCCACTGCAAATATAGGTATACACGTGCGCGTCCCGCGCGGGGACGATCGCGGCGCAGGCTTTCGCTGCGACGACCGTCGTCGTCGCTCCAGGTAGTCTCTCCGGTCGGGGGTACGCGTGCAGTATGTATACGGTACGCATGCAGCCGCGAGACTTTTACGCCTAGTCTGCCGCGCGGAACTCGGTCGCATTCGACATTCGGCGAATGGGACGCGATGCCGGGAAGAGGGCATCACACGCCTCGTACATATATACATATACGTGTGCACCCCTTTTCGTTGACCGTTAATTCAGCCTCCTTTTCCGGACACGAGTGAAGAACGAGATTCGCCCATTACGCCCCGACGGCCAATTTACAACTTTGTTCCGCGTATCGAATCGGGAACGTCAAACTCGTTCCCGCAACGAGAAGTTTTAGCCGATCGAGGAAAAGGGGATCTTCGCGGTTCTTTTTAATGAGATGATTTTTATCATTTTTTTTTTAACTAAATTGATTAAAATCTATTGCTTTATTTTATAAGGTATACTTAATTTTATAAGGTATACTTAAACCTCGGAAATAATTTTATTTTTAACGGGTTCCTATACAGAGAAAAAAAAGTTGTTAAAATAACTATTATAAATGCGTTTTGTTGACAGTTTTTCTTGAATTCAATTATTATATATTATTATATATTTGAATTAAACATACGTCAATAACATGATACATCATTGACATGATATTTTTGTGAATTAACAAGTATTTTGTTGAATTAACAAATGTTTGCTTGACAACCCGTGACCGCCGCATTTAGTTAAATGAAATATCTTGCTAATATTATAGGGAAAGAGACTCATTGATTTAGGTCATTTAGGAAATCTATTTTACAATTCTATTCTTAACAAGAAACGCCAAATGCAGGCTAAAACGGATCTTGGTGCTTCGTAATAATATTTTTGAATATTTTGATCTTACAATTTCCAGTTCAGGAATATTGCGCGCCGAAATATATTTGTCGATCTAGAAACACAGGCTCACACTAAATCCGTACTACGTAATATCGCAATTAAATTGACAAGTAATTTAAAAATTTTTGATGCTAATGAGCATCTCATTCTTAATAATTATTTCTTCTGTAGAATGACTATTGTAAAATAACTTATAACAAATATTCGGCGCGCAGTATACCTGAACTGGAAATTGTAAGATTCGCACAAAAATATCATTACCAAGCATCAAGATTCACTTTAAACCGCATTCGGCGTTTTCTAATCTTGTTTGAACTTTCGCGGTCTCGATTAGATTATCATATAAAGTAATTCCTTAATGCAGAAATTTTATCGTCTAACGAATTATAGATTATCTCAAGCGGACTGAAATGAAGTTTGCTGCAACAGAGGGTTAACCCGCTTTTTATAACAAAATGGAAAGAATGAACTCTAAAGTCCATTACTTTAATTTTACAGTTTACTTTCTCATTTTATTTGTTAGAGAATGTGAGTTAGCCCACTGTTGCAGCAAACGTTTCAAATAATATATCGCGTTGCCAGTATAACGATGCTACATAATTGTATATTTTCTTGAATTAATTAAACATTGAACTCAAAAATCTAATCAGTTATTGATATAATATGGATTATATTATATTAATTCTATTGCATGAATACAATCGCCCTGATACCAACATAAATCTCTTAAAAAGTCACCTACTTATTTTTTGAAAACTAAATACTTGCACTTTATTAATATACTGATAAAAATGATTACCATGATCTGGTTAGATAATTAAAAAGATAAAAACCAATAATTCATATTTGTGACTTTTGTTTCTATATATAAAATCAGCTAAAAACAAATTCTACAAATGTAAAAATAACACTTTTACAATTTTCTTTTGCAAATTATGTTGTTTAAATAATATTAAATATATTATTGTTATTAGATTTACATATTTATAAAATTCCTAAAACTTTTATTTTATTTTTACTTATATTTTTTTCGTTTTTATATTTTTCTTTCTTATTTTTACCGGTTTTGGAACTCATTTTGCCTGATGTTCATTTTGCTTATCTTACAAAAATGTTAAATATTGAAAAATTCTAAACAATATTATCAAAAATTGCTATATTATCTCATAGATGATATTTTCTATTATAGTTTGTATATTATATTTGTATATTATATTTTCAAAGTTTTATTTTTATCTTTTGTTTAACAAAAATATAATCCAAAGTCAAAGTGACAGAATCGGTGATCTTCTTTGATTAATTCTATTAATTATTAATAAAAATATATTAATTTTATTAAGAAAAAAATATTAATTCTAGATATACATATTATATTAATTTTATTTCTCTCCGCCGCGTGATACGGTTATAATACGTAAATATCTTCCAATTTTGTTATTTTATCGGTCAAGTTGAAATTGAGCTGGTAAAAATTGCGCAATTGTAATCTCGAGATGTCGCCTGTGTGAGAAATCTTTATGGACAAATTGAAGTTCAATGTCTGATTTATCCACGGTTGGCAAATATTTCTCTCTCTTTTTCTACCATGAAATAAACAAAATATATTAATAATTTAATTTTATATCATCTGAATATTATCATATTATATATATAAAAACACCAGGATAATAAATTATAAAATCAATATCATAAACTAATCATTTAGATTTTAGTTGCTTCGCGAGTTTTACAAAATAACTTTTTTTATAATAATACCTTGTCGGTGATTTCGTTATTATTAAATATTTATTCAATACATTGCAGTGAATTATTAAATATTTTTCTTGCACATAAGTTTAAATTAGGTAAATATATATATTCATAAATTTTAACATCCAAGGGCATTAACTGAGTATGAAATTACGTGAAGGAAATAACAAAAATATAGAGAGAAATGCGAGAAGTTATAATTAAAAATCTACATTGTTTTCATAGCACACTCGGCATATCGTCCCCGTCACGCGCGCTCCGATCTGAGAAATTCCCTATCGCCGCCTCTCCACCTGTCGCTCCATCTGCAGTTCTCGCAACGGCGTACGGCTACTAGCTGCATGCGTGTTGTTCCGGCGTAAAGTTGCGCGCGACGCGAGTGTCACGGTGTTGTCGGAGGCCGCGTACGGTGCGTGAACGGCTGCCCGGCGAAAATGTGGTAAGCCGATTTCTTCCGCTCCGGCTGGCGAGCCGATCGGCGACGATCAGCTGATCGGCCGGCGGGTCCGCGCTTGTTTACAAACACCGTGGCGCACCTAACCTCCAAGCCTCCCGAGTCTCCCGACCTGCGTAACCTCGTCAGTCTCAGTCAGTCTCGACGTGATCACACCGGGGCACATCGGGGATCAGGGGGGGAGGGGGGAGCCGTCCGTTGGTTGTCCACCGTTGATGACGGGATCGCGCGGAGATTCGTGAGAGAGTCGTGTCGCGGCCGACGCAGTCCCGCCGAGAGAAATCCGCGACCTTCCGCTCTCGAGTTCGCCCCCGTTCTCGACGTTCCTCTTCCTCGTTGTAGATGCACTCCACGGGCAATGGCACGATGGTCGACGGTGCTGTCCGGGGTGTTCTTGGCTCTCTCCATGGTTCTCTCCCTGGGGAAGCTGTTGATGCTCGCCGCGGGAACCGGAAGCAATGGGGAACTCACGGAGGCGGACCAGTGGCTCACCGAAATCGGCCTCGCGCAGTATCGTCCGCTATTTAAGAAGAACGGTGAGTACCCGTTTTATTGTATACCCGCAGACTCGCGATATAGGAATCCACGGGACACCCCCGCCAGTGTTTCAGTTATCGAGACAGTAGTACCTCTAATCGAGCTGCCAGCATTGCTAGAAAAGGTTTTTGATAATGCTTTGATTCATATAAATCAACAAATTATTGTAGCTTAATAAGACGTTTAAATACTGGATTGTTGGGAAAAATTTGAAACGATTTTTAGTAGATGGCACTTGAATACCCCAAAGCATGTAATATTAATAAATGTTTAATACCTAGATAAACTTAAATTAAATCGTTGAATTTCGGCAATTTTGCATAATTTTCGACAAAAAAGGAAATCAAATTAATAAATAATTATTTTTATGACTCACAATATTGCCCGTTATTTAGAAAGAGAGATAAGTACACTGAGAAAAAAATTTGTTTTATCTTACTAAAATATTTAGTCCGATATCAACTAAACGTTACTATGATGGCACAAAATAATTTGTTACTATTATAAATAAAATACTATTTTTTAACTAAATTACTTTGTTTCAACAAAAAATTTATCGTATTTAACTCAATCGTTCGATTAAAAATATACACTATTTATTATCCCCATCAGCATCGTTTAATATTTCGAGTTTGAACAAATATATTATTTGGATAACTAAATAGCATGCAAACACAGATAAATATTAGTATTTCGAACAAAATAATTTAATTGATTTGGTTTAGTTAATTCTTGATTAAAAATTCTTGATAGTTTACATGAATGAACTAACTTTTCTTTATACAATTAAAGAATTGTTGAATCAACCAACTATACAAATTGGATCAAACAACTATACAAATTTAGTTCATACGATCAATTTTTTTTCTCAGTGTATCTGTTTTGTTACCACTCGCGATAATATTTCGCGGAGTGCCGTCGCAGTGTTTCAGTTATCAAGACACAGTAGCTCCAATTAAGCACTGCCAGATCTTTGATGATTCCTTGATTTACAAAGAGATGGTTCACAAACCAACAAATTATTATTAATATTTTTAATATACTAATATTTTAATAAGACGTTTAAATGCTGTTCGAATTGTTAAAATTTGAAACGATTTTTAATAGATGGCATTTGAGCGGCCCGAAACACGTAACATTTGACATTTTAACACATTTTTAATAACTGACGTAAATCGTCAAAATAGTCGTAGCTCCAATCGAACTGCCAACATTACTATAAAAAAAGCTTGATAATCCTTTTATAAAGAGATTCATAAACTAATAAAATATCTTAATAAGACATTTAAATACTGAATTGTTGAAAATTTGAAACAATTTTCAATAGATGGCATTTGAACACCCCGCAGCATGTAACATTTGATATTTTAACGTATTTTTAATATGTGGTAATATATGGCAACTCGTTGAACTTCGGCAGTTTCGCGTAATTTCTAGAAAAGAGGAAATAAAATTAATTAATAATAATTTTTATTGTTGGATGCTTTTGCACAATCGGACGGGCAAAAATGCCGCGCGAGCATCAAAAGGATATATGCTGTACAGAATGACAATCAAGGAAAATTAAATAACTGTCATATTTTGTCATATTTTGAATGAATGAAACAAATTAAACGGTATTCTGTGGAAGAAAAACATTATTTTTATTAGCATAAAGTAAATATATTTTGGCGCTCAAACGATAAAAAGATACATTTATGAACTTTAGCCTGAATCTCTACATTTCTTATATAATTGTAGAAAAATATAATCAAAGAATCGTAATTATTAAACGAAAACAATTATTATCAATTATCTTGCTTATAAATATATTTCTGTATATGCAAGTGGTTTTTAATTGGGATTTTTAATAATAGGTTGCCAGTTAATGCGGAGTAATTTCTGTGTGTGTAATATCCCGGAATAGCACGTAATTTCAAGATTGCATCGATAGTTGCGCAAAAATCTGCTGTCACTCGCGTATGTGACCGTTACGTGTAATATAAGTGGAGCATCTCTGCGATTTGAACCGTCCAAGAATATATACGTGCACACGCGCTCGGCAGAAATGACACGTATTAAAACGATAATTCTTTCTTCAACGATTCACGCTACGTCGCGTCGCGTAAACTGCGCCACTCGTCGATCGTCATTAAACATCGTCGTAGTGACGTATCATTTTGCGCATCGTTCGATAAATAAGTAATCTCACTGGGGAAAATTCATACATTTTTTATATAAAGGCTCACAATATAGATGAAACGATAAATAGTTTACATTGATGTTTTGCGTAGAATTTACGTATAGCAATGTGAGATGCATAGAGATAGTATATTATGCGTAATGAATGTTACAGAGGATGATATATCATGTAATTCATGTTGAAGGATCCACATAAATTCTGTTAATACAGAACGCACTCCATCCATATCTAATTACGAGTGTCATATGACGCTATCTGTATTAATAATATTAGTATTTTAAGCACATTGCACAATCTCCTTTAAGACGAATCACATGTCCTATACTTTTGAAACAATGAAATAATTATGAGAAAATTACAGATTATTCTAAATTTAAGAGTATCCCATTTAAGAGTAAAACAAAAAATTTTGCGACATTTTAGACCTGGATCCAAAATTATTTTTAGTAAAAAATAGAAGTATTTTTTAGCGGAATTATAATTAAGAAATAATAAAATCTCAATTTTTTAAATGTAAGTATACTTTAAGTATCTAAGATAATTTATGCAAAGTTTTATTGCGATGCAGAGATTAGTTCTGTAAATAAACAAAATTTATTTGTTTACTTACAGAACAACTATCTCTGCATTGAAATGAAACTTTGCATAAATCATCTTGAATACTTAAAATAGTTATATAACAAAATTGAGAAATTTGTCAAAATGTGTTTTAAAATAATTTAATGTTAATAACAAATAAACTAAAAAATTATATTGTTAAACAAATATATAATATTATTTACACAACTTTTACATGTATATACTTTATTTGAAATATAAATATTAACACATTTCCAATTTTAACTTACTTTGCAAAGACTGTATGATACGTTTTTAAAAAAAATCCTTTGAAAAGATGCGCAATTTTTAAGTAAAAGGAAATAATACTTTCGAAACAACTGAATTTAAAAAGAAATAAATTTCATATAAAAGTTAAAAGTATAAAGTTTTGAACATAAATTTTTTCCGTAAAACCACGTGGCATCTACATGATTGATCTACATGATAGTACAATATTGTACTAAAAATTACAATAAAGTGTTACAATAAAGTTTATTATCTTGGAATATATCGATATTATAACAGAAATTGCGATATTTAAATAAAAATCGTATTTTTAAATTAAAAAATTATAATTTTATATTATATACATTATTTTATAGAAAAGATTATCCGATTCAATTATTAAGACAATCAAATTCTACTAAAATGAGAGCGATGTTTTACAACCTTAGTGCAGTTGCTTTTGCTCAAATTGTATGTTTTACTGTGTAGTAAAAGTTACAACATTAAGATAGTAATCTCAAGATGTGTATTGCTTTCTGAATTCTTGTCAATAACTTTCACGATTATTTCTAATTGATACTCGTCATATTTACGACGAAATGATTAATGAGGATTGTACTGATCATATTACTTTCGCATTATTGCGAGCTGCTGATGTAAATTACATTAACTCTCCCCGCGAGTGCATAAGAAGATAATACGATGGATTTTTATTATTTTGACGTTAAGGATTTATCGTTCGGCACAAAGCCAATTTCTCTGCGGGCATCATTCCGGTGTAACTATCGATTATTCCCGCCTTGCCAAATTTGATCTGCCTTTGTGATGAGCTGCAGCTGCTCCTTTTCAAGCAGATTCAGCGAGTAACGTAAGGGAGATATCATCCTGGAAATATCCTGACTGAATTTCACTTCAGTGCACAAGGTAGTTTTACATTAAATTTTCAATCGTATCGTGAAAAAATTTTACTTACTGTTAGAAATCGCCGAAATTTAATTTTATGTGTACATACGTGTTGGCGATACACTGAAAGAGCGATTTTGTTGAAAAGTCTGAAAATTTTGCTGAATACAGATCTGAAAATAATTTTTGTTCAATAATCAAAATAATTTGTTGGAAAGTTAAAGATGATAGGTATTGCTATAAAACGTTTTGATATTCTACACGGAAAAAATTGCGATTTACAAATTGGATGTTACAACAATATTCTACCTCTGTGAAGTTAGCACCCCATTTTTAAAAAAATAAATTTTTCGATACAGCTCTGAATGCACCCCAAAGAGTTCCGGAGTTCCTGCAAAAAATTAAAAATAGTTCC